ATGGTCTTGTATGCATGAATCATGGTTTCTTTTATTATGGTTGGTATCATGCTTAACCCGATATTGTATTGTCTTATTTGGTGTCAATTACTGGTTTACATGTTGTGTATGATTGGATGATTGTGATCAAGAAAAAAGGCAAAAAGGTTATGTGAATTGATAAATGGATAATATGGACAGCTTGACTAGATATCCTGGAAGATGGTAGACAGACCGGGTCCGTAGGGAACCCTACCGGGAACGTGGTCTCTCATACTGGGCGGGGTATGGAGATCTTATGTGTTTTGGAGCCCATACCGGACGGGGTATGGGGACGGCCCGTTTCACCCTCATACCGAACGGGGTATTGAGGTTCATGGTTTTGGTGCCCATACCGAACGGGGTATGGGGACGGCCCTGGAATCAGGTTGTAAATATTAATGGTTCACGTGTAGCGGGGACCCCCTATGGATCCCTAGGGATACTAGTAGGCTGGTAAAAGAGGAAATCTGTTTTCTGATGATTGAAATGTAAAGGTATGATATGTGTTATGTTATAAAGTGTGTATGATTTCATAATATTATAAGGTTATTGTTTTCATATGTTGTTTTCATGGATCTCACCGAGGTAAGTGGACAGTAAAGGTTTTTCTGTTAATAAACAAATTTGTTATAAATTATGCTCCATTGGTCATTTTTGTTTTCTACCCACCTTTATTTCCGTGGCGGTGAGATAGTGTGATGTCTTTACTGGGCTGGTGTAGCTCATTCCTTATTTAACCATTTCAGATCAGGAAGACATTGTTCCCGAGCCCGTTCCGCAGGAAGACGGCGAAGGGGACACCTAAAGACTTCATAGTTATATTTATAGTTCATATCTCGAGTATCTCTTTTAGTTAGTTTGTTCTTTCATGTTTTGAGTACGTTTTGGTTATTGTGTAAGGGATGTTAATCAAAATTTTTATTACGCTTCCGCATTTGACATTTTTAATACATATATCTCATTTAAATTTACGGGGCCGTTACAGGTGTGGACTCAGTATCTAGCTCATTAAAATTGTAGACACGTCCCCTAGTCACTAGTCTAGCATCGTTCTAGGATAGTTTATTTCATAATGTTGTGTACTCTCACACTTAAAACAAACATTATTCACTTTGTAGCAAGAGTTAGTGTCATGATTCTTCCCACAATATCTGTACACCTGGTTAGGAGTAGAAGTATTACCTGGGTGTGGAACTGTAGGATGAACATGGGGTCGATTGGCTTAGAAAGAGAGAGAGAGAGGAATTAGAGATATATTTATTAGTGTATAAAAAAAAAGCCAAAAGTTTCATTTTTTACATCTCCCTTTGCTTAATTTTGCCTATACATTTGCATAAAACAAATCTTAGATAGTTATTAACTCTATATGCCATCTAAATAGAGGAATAGTTCCAACTATAACCTTCATTTATATGGAAAATTTTCGTGTCACTTGTCTCCCTATACCATCTCTTTCCATGAAAACCTCATTATTGATTTTTTTAAGGGTTATCTTAAAGATCTAAAGGACTAATATATCAATATTTCAGTTGTTAAAGATGGTTTTAGTATGGAAAATTATCCATAATCTTCATAACAAAGATTTCTCCTCCATATCGTTCCTTTCTCTTACTAGTGTTCACTATAATTTCTAGAGTTGTCATATTGACATGGTAGAGTTAGGAAGATTAGCCTAGCTTTGTTTTACATACACCTTTATAGCACTAGATAGAAACTCAATCATAAATCATATAACATTATGTTTTCACTTATTCATAGGATTTAATTAGTTATAATATAAAACAAAAGGTTTATTGGTTCAAACAATGGAAGGTTTCGTCACTGGTTCAAATAGGAAATGAAAATAAGCATGAATAATGAATGGAGAAAAGATAAAAGTAACTGTTAAGAATTATTTTGATTGATGTGTATTCCATTAAATATTACAACTCTATAAATACAAGTTTTCTAGAAATGAAAATTAAATAAATAATTAGTTGCAATTATTTACGAATGATGAATTTACACTTTAATTTGATACCTTGATTTATTTTTAGATTTTTTTCTTTTTCAACACCATGATTTCTTTCCTCTTTAGCACATTAATTTACTTTCTCTTTAATACTATGATTTTCTTCGTCTTTAATTTATTGATTTACTTCATCTTTAACACTTCTCCTCAAGTTGAAGAATAGTTGTTATCTATTCCCAACTTGTTAATAAGATTTTGGAACGTTAGGCTGTTTACACCTTTAATTACCAGGTCTACTAATTGAAAATTGGTGGGCGTATATTGAGTACATATTAAGCTACTATCAAGTTTTCTTTAATAAAATATCTGTCAATATCAATGTGTTTAGTCCGGTCATATTACACCAAATTGTAAGCGATAAACATAGACAATTTATTATCACATTATACGCCTATAAGATTTTTCCACTTGATTTTAATATTTTTTCAAGATTCTTTTTATTCATAGTAGTTCACATACCCCTTGTGCCATTATACAAAATTTTGGTTCTAGACTTAATCTTGTAACTACATTTTATTTCATACTTCTTTAAGTGACGGGATTAACTTCAAAGAACATATAATAATGTGTAGTAGATATTTTATCTACAACTAATCTTGCATAATCTACATCAATACAGGTTTCTAAGAGTAATTTGGCATTTCTCTTAAACATAATTATTTTCCCTGGTGACTTTTTTAAGTATTAAAGTACCTTGTATGTTGCTTGTAGGTGCACTTCTTTTATATTATGTATGGATTGACTTATAACACTTACTACACACGTAATATCTAGTTTTATATGAAGATGTATATCCCTGATCCTCTGGATTAAAGTAGATCAGATATGAAAATAAATAATGTAGGCGCCACCATCAACACTATCCAGTAATAGATCCTTGACAATATTAAGCATATTCTATTTAGAGATTACTAATTGGCCAACAAAACATATATCTTTCCTATTGAGGGCGTCAGCTACGACATTACCCTTTCTAGGATGGTATAAAATCTTGCAATCGTAATCTTTCAGTAGGTCCAACCAACATCTCTGTCTCATATTGAGTTCCTTCTATGTAAACAACTATTTCAAACTCTTGTGCTCTATGAAGATCTCAAATGTCTCACAGTACAAATAGTGTGACCAT